GCCCAGGGGGGGGGGGGGGGGGGGGGGGTGTCTTGGGAGGGGCCTGAGCAAAGGAAGCGCAGGGATCGTTCCAGGTGAAGAAAGACACTTCCGGGGCCGTATTGGGGCCAGACTGGAGGCCAGGAGCCGATGGAGGAGGCTGGGGCCATGGTCCAGGAAGGGGAGGGTGTAGGGAGAGAGGAAGGTCCTTGACAAGGAGTGGGGGGGGGGTGTCCCTGGGGCTGGAGCATGACAGGCTGCAGGGAAATATAAAAGGGGGAGCAGAGAGCATCCGTGGGTCCAGCCCGCAGTGGTGGGGGGATGGGGCGTCCCCCTGCCATAGGAAACCAAGCAGGGAGAGGTGGCTTTGGGACATGATACTGAGCTCCGGGTTGGAGGTAATGAGGCTGAGGAGTTGGGGGAAGGGTGGGAGGCGGGCAGGTGGCTCCCCAAAGGGGTGAAGGTTTCAGTCTAACCTGCCCCCTCCGGTCCCCAGCGATGCACTGAATGTGAGAACTGCCACTGTGACGAGGAGAACATGGGAGAGCACTGTGACCAGTGCCAGGTGAGACACCCCCCTCCCCCCAGGACTCAAGGCTCCCCCCCCGCCTCTGGATGGTCCAGGACCCCCCAGCCCCAAATCCTGCCCTCCGCCCTCAAACTGACCAAACCCCTTACTCCCATGCAGCCTTGACTCCACACTCGAACCCTGCCTCTGACCTCGACCTCCACCTGCAAGCCTCCGTCCCACCCCCCATCCTGACTCTGCCTTTGACCACGACCTGCCACTCACTCTCTTTCCCCGCCCCCTCCCAGCATTGCCAGTTCTGCTACCTCTGCCCGTTGGTCTGCGAAACTGTCTGCACCCCGGGTAAGAGCGGTGGGCGGTCTCAGGAGAACCCCGGGGAGGGGGCGGGGCCAGGGAGGCGGACCCGGGTGGGGACTGGGAGGTTGCGGGGCGGGGCTAGGTGTGGCGGCTGGGCCGAGGCTGCATCGGTGGGTGGAGCCGGGAGAGGACGGGGGGCGGGGCCTGCGCAGAGAGAAGGTGGGGGATAGATGCTCCAAGGCTGCAGCATCTACCCCTCAAGATTGGGAGCCGGGTTGAGGGGTGGGCCTAGAACGGAATGGGCGGGGCCAAAGCAGGAAGAATGGAAGGACCGAGGAGGCTGCTGGAGGATGGGGAACCTTCCTAGTGGAAGGAACTCGGTTTGGGGAAGGAATTAGGAAAAGAGGGAGGAGCTGGCCTTGGTCCCGGGCGCGGCGAAAAGTGACCCCTACTTTCGCCCGTGCAGTACCCCTCAAACCGGTTCTCTCTTCTCTCCCACAGGAAGCTACGTCGACTATTTCTCCTCGTCCCTGTACCAGTGAGTGTGTGGCGGGGGGAGTGTGAGGGCCCCGGTTAGAGACGGCCCTGGGCTGCAGGTCCCCTGGGTCACATGAATGGGAAGGTGAACGACCTCTCCGCGCCCTCGGGTGAGCTTGGGGCACGTCGGTGGGTGGTCTAACCATTGCGCCCTCCTCTCCAGGGCCCTGGCGGACATGCTGGAAACTCCGGAACCCTAACCCGGCCGCGCGGCTGCGGCGCAGACGTCCCTCCCTGGCCCTCCAGCACCTTCCCACGAGCCATATTTATTTCTCTGAATAAACGTGACCCCCCAAAACCTCATTGTCAGGCGTAGGGTCTGGCTTCCCGGGGCACCGAGGGACTCGGGACTCGTGGGTCAGAGGACGCGGAGCCCGTGCTTTCGGGGCCTCGGGGTGGGTGGTCGGTTGCAGGTCCTGATAAATAAATCAGTCGACACGGGCGCGTTTTGAAACAGTTCTCTTTACCCGTGATCACTGAGTGACGCCTGAGGCAGGGAGGCCGACAAGAGTCCGGGGCGAGGGCTTCCCACCGTCCGCCCGCCCCCCCACGGCACATCGCCCAGTGGCACCGTGGAAAGAGGATGCTCCCATGCAAACCCCGGGGCCGGAGGGGAGCGGGGAGCGCGCTCTG